GTTTGGCATTCTCTCTGAAATCAAGTAGCATCTTTTTATTAGAGGTTTTCCAGACGGCTACATTTGATTCTGCCAACTACACCAGATGGGAAGGGTTCCCTTACCGGGACTGAATCTGCATATCCCTCCAGTTAAGCCTGTCAAGCCTGGACTCCTGAATCAGATAACACAGGATATGATTAATTTAAATGAATATTCTTTTTTTCTTAGTTATGACTTAATCCCTGGTTATGATTTATTCCTGCTTATGTCCCTAATCTCTCTTTGCTCCCTTATCCTGGTAAATTAGATCAAACAACTCAAAATCTCTCCCCCTTTTCCTTTTATTTTAGTCTGAAGTCCAAGCCAGGACTAATTATGAGAAATCAGCCCTTTGGTTTGCTTTCCCCTGGGTTCCACTTGGCTTTGCATGTCCCGCTGTATACAAGCACCTCCTAAGGGACATGCTAAAGGCAGAAGTGAAAAGAGAATCTCCCCAGGGTTACTTATCATTTGTTTACCCATTCCACTGGGGTCTCCGTTGCCAAGTCTTAAGAAGGGTGTGTGGACTCTCCACTAAGCTCATTTAGGGCTTTTCCCTGGATTTAGAGTGGGGGAAGAAATTATGCAAACAGTTCCAGTTTAGGGTCGATTGGGACACCTCATGCAAGGGCTGTTATCTTCCATAAAGTGCTAATGTGGCTTTCCTCTAGCATTTCCCCTTCTCTGAACTCAAGCAAGTTAAGTTCTCTTAGAGTCTGAATCTCAATGGGATTTCATATTACGTATGTAGATTGGAAACTTTTTATGTTTTTCAACTTCATTAAGATCTATCAAGGATCTTCTTCTATGTGCCTCAGATCGAGTGATCCTAGACTATGTCTTATAACATTTTGTCTGTCATGTGGCCTGCTTATATGAGGTGTAATTAAAAAATACAGTGAATGTTTAAAAAAAATGTATTACAGTGAAAGACACATTGCCATTAATCCCCCTCAAAATACCCCCCCACACCACCACCACGCTTTGAACATACTTATCCTATCATTCTTGCCAATTTCTGAAGCAATTCTGAAAGTCCTCTTTCATGAGTGTCTTTAGTTGTGCTGTCATGGCTGCCTCAATGTCCTGAATCATTTTGACTTTGGGAAAGAGCCAGAAGTCACATGGTGCCAGATCCAATGAATAAGATGGATGAGGACACACCGTAATGTATTTATTTGACAGAAATTGCTGTACCAGAAGTGATGTGTGACAACAAGCATTGTCATGATGGAGGATGATTTTCGGCACACTTTCAAACACACCTTCTCTCAACCGTAGCTCACATCCGAAAAACTTCACCAAACAAGTTGAAACCTGTCACACACTGTTACTAAGGTTTGAAGGGTCACTTCCTGTGTTGAAGATCCCTGCCTTTCCATTGGATGGTGCTCGGCAGCAGTATTTACCTTATGTTTTGATCACAACTTATAGCCTTTGCAAAATAAAAGTTGAATTAATTATTTAAGTATAAGGCAGCTTCTCTACTTTCAGGAAATTTATAATCTGGTGACAGAGATAAAGTCAAGCACATATAAAAAAATATATATATATATAAAGTACAGTCCTCCCTCAGTATTCACAGGGGATTGGTTCCAGGCCCTCCACGGATACCCAAATCCACTGATGCTCAAGTCCCTCACATAAAATTTGCATATATCCTACATACATCCTCCCATATGCTTTAAATAATCTCTAGATTACTTATTATACCTAACACAATGTAAATGGCTATTATACTGTATTATTTAGGAAATAATGACAAGAAAAAAACTTTGTACCTGTTCATCATAGGCCTGACTACATGGTAACATGTCAGCAACAATGGAGGTTTTTTTTCCCCAAATATTTTCAATCTGCAGTTGGTTGAATCCATGGTTGCTGGGGGCCAACTGTAGTGTGGTACATAGGGAAGTGTTCTAGACTGGAAATCCAGATCCCATGTCAGAGTGGCTCTGCCATTTATAGATGGTGACTCAACATTACTTCCCTGAACCCCAGTTTCTTCATCTGTAAAGTGGAGGAGTTGGACTAGGGTAATATCTCCTTGTAGACTCTACCTACAGACCACATTCCACTTGTCTCCCCATCCTCTACCACATCTGTCCAAACTACCACCATCTCATTCCTCTACTATTGTGAAAGCTCCTGGTTGCCCTCCTTCCAGTCTTACCATCCTAGAATTCATTGTCGCAGCCAGAATCATCATTTGAAAACACAAATCATATCTTGTCACAGGCCCATTCCCTACTACCCTAAATCCTCCAACAGCTCCCAACCACACTTAGAATAAAACATGAGCCACATAACAGGTCTTCTATGCCCCCCAAAGCCGGACCTCTGATTATCTCTCTGACTTTACCTTCTTGTGCTGTCTCCCGCATCCACTATAGGATTTCCACCTTCTTTGCACAAACCATTCTCATACTCATTCTGTCCTGTTCTTCCATCTAGAAAGTTCCCTTCCCTCATATCTTCTGGGCTTTTTGCCCCACGCACACCTAATTTTCTCTCTCTCCCTCAGCCGTAGGACCAGGAAACCAATGAGATCAGCAGCAGAAATCAAGATTGGATTCTTGAGAAGTTAAGTGGAAGATAACATCAAGGTTTCTAATTTGGGAGACTGATGGAGGCAGCAAAATAGAAGAGGAAGAACAGGTTTGGGACACATTAAAGGAACTTCTGGTGGATAGTTCATTAAACCCTCGCCCTTCTTTCAATCCCTTTCCCTTATCTAGGCCTCATAAGCTTCTTTTTTAAAGAAGAAGATGGTAAGCATAGTCATGGCTAAACTGGTTGCTATGTTCAGTGTCTGGTCTGATCAGTCGGTACCCTGTTCTGATTGCTAAGTGTCTTGCTGATCTAGCTGTTAGCATTTTTTAATATCACAGCTACTAGTGGCCTTTCAAGTGCCCCATTCCCTCTCTGAACCATGTCTTTCCCTATATTAGAATGCCATTTCCAGGCAGAGCTTCTCAAAGTTTTCCTCCCAGGGACCCCTAAAGGCAGAAATTCCTAGATTTGAGTTGGGACACCCAAGAAACAGGACAAATTTATTTGATGACTCTTCCTTTCAAGGCTTACAATTCATCAAAATTTGCATTCTGCTTCATAGGAAATTTGTATGTGTTTGAATATAAAAAGCTATTAAGATTTGCAGTTTAAAGAATGGGCTTTGGAGTCAGAATGGTAAGAGTTTGGGTCACTGTCCTGCCACTCACGAATTGTATGAACTTGAGCAAATTACTTGGCTTCTCTGAGCCTCCATATTTGTCATGTGGTGGTTGAGCACATGGTAAATATTCTATGGATTGTGAGCACCCTGAAGGCCAGAGTCTGGGTTTTGTCCATCCTTGTATTCCTCACAGAGACTAGAAGAGTGCTCTATCCATAGATGTCACTTTATATGTGTTCATTCCTCCACATCAGACATACATGCACCTATGGTTATCCTGTTTTTACCACTAGATGGAGAGCATGTATCCTAGGATTTTTAATCTATTAGTAACTGAGAGAAAAACATTTGTCTATAGTGTCATAACCAAATCAGTTTATTTATTAATGATGGTATCATTAAAACTGACTCTCAAAAAGTACAATTATAATATAACTTTCAGAACTATTTATTCTTAAAATAACTAAAGGCAAAAGGAAGGGAGAAACACTAACTTCAAGATAGTGGTTACCTCTGTGGGTGAGATAAATTGGAATTGGGTGGGAGTGGGAGCTCTAAAAGTGTCTAACAGCTGACTTTCTGTTTCAAAATGTAGTAAATATGTCCAAAAATGTGAACCTTGGAATTGGGTAGTAGTGTGGTAAATATAAATGTATCTCATTATTTTCTATATTTCTCTCAAAATGTTCACAATTGCAGATTTAAAAAAAAAAAGTCAGGAAAAAGCCTCAAAGGTGAAATCTATGCTTACTGCTTCTATCTCTATACATACTGCCTAATGAGCTTTTCAATGTTCCTCTCTGAGAGCTGCAGTTTGGAACAGAAAAGTACAACAGAACAAAAATCATACAGGGCCTCCCCACTCGGTCTTTTATGTTGCCACCCTCCCACTGACCTTTCCATTTTGCCCTGAAGTTAAGTCCTTTAAGTCCTTTAAAGGCCACTGCTTAAACTCAGTTGGCTAATTAGTTCTTGTCTCCAAATTGGATTGTTTTTAACGAATCTGAAAGATGAAGGACAACTGTTTCTGAGTATCTGTTCTGGTTATTACTGCTATTTAACAAACTACCCCAAACCGTAGAGGCATAAAACAGCCATTTTATTATGTTCGTGGACTCTGTAGGACAAGAATTTGGACAAGTCACAGTTGGTGTACCTCATCTCTGTTCCATGATATGTGGTGCCTCGGGTTGGAGGACGCAAGCTGTGGAGGACTTGACAGTTGGGAATGACTTCATGGTTGGGGGCAGAAATCGCTGGGTGGTATCATCGCTCTTGCATCTGGTCATTGACACTAACTGTTGGCTGAGACTTCCACTGGTGCTGTTGACTGAGCCATCTACTGGTTAGAAACAGGTAACTGTGTTTGGCCCAGATTCGGCAGAGACTCCTTGCTCTTGATGGGAGGGGTGTCACCGAATTTGCAGATATATTGTAAAACTATCACACTCTTCTCTTAACTCTGCTACTACAATGAAGTAATTGACAAACCTGGACCCTCTTTGTCCATTCAAGTGATCCACAAGGAGGAATGTTTGAGTGTATCCACTAAATTCTTTAGGAACACTGTCAATTTCTTTGACCATATCTGGGTAGCTCAGGTACAAACTAATACGGTAATTTATTTTACCAGCCCTATTCCGTTTGAAAGCTGATGACTTTTTATGACCATGAAACATAAATGTATGTATTATAAACAGCACATATAGTAAAATTTTTACCATAAATGAAATATTATCCAAGGAAAACTTTATTAACTGCATATTGCTGCATAACAAATTACTCTAAAACTTAGTGGCTTGAAGCAACAAACATTTATTATCTCAGCTTCTGTGGGTCAGTAATTTGAACAGCTTAGCTCTGGCTCTGGGTCTTTCACAGAGCTGCAGTCAAGATACGTCATCTGGAGACTTTACTGGGGCTGAAGAATCTGCTTCCAATGTGACTCACTCATGTGGCTCTTAGCAAGAGACCACAGTACCTCGTTGCTTGTTGGCAGGTGACCTTAGTTCCTCATCATGTGGGCCTCTCCATAGGCTTGCTTAAGTGTCCCATGACATGACAGCTGGCTCCCTGCAGAGTGAGTGACCCAAGAGAGAGAGCAAGAAGGAAGCCATAGTACCTTATGTCCAAGTCTTTGTAAGTGGCACAAGGTCACACCTACCATATTCTATTCATTAGAAGTGAGTTACTAAGTCCAGCTCTTGCTCACGTGGAGGGGAACGAAGCCCCACCTCTTGAAGGGAGGGTATCAAAGGCTTTGTGATTAGAGAGTAAACTACTACACGGATTTGGAAGGAGTGGTTTCTCTCACCCTTTCCTGAAGGGACCTGCCTCAGGACACCTGTCCTTTTTATGCAACCAATGTAGGGAAACAAGTAGTTTCAATACGGAAAATTAGAAATAAGTCTGCTTTGTCATTCAGGTGGGAAATACACCTAGACTTCTCTCTTCTACTCTGCTCCTATCTTTATGAAATGGGAACTGTGACTGTCACCCATAAAAGCTTGTGGAATGCTTTAAAACACTGTATATTTTTACCTTTATGCAGAATTGTGAGAATGTTGTGAAGGTGGGGGCATTCCTGCACCTGTTCCAACATCTCATTGACTCTAGGGTAAAATGGGCCATCCAAATTGCCTGGACAGGTATGTCCTTCCTCAGACTCCATTCTATTACATATCTTTCAAAACTCCCAACTTGAATGGTCAGGATGACAGATGAGGCTGTGCTTCAGGCCAAGGTAGATCATAAGATGAAGAAAAGTTGCCATCTTCCAAAAGCAAAACCCAGTGAAGTAATGTGCAATCCTGAGCAAATGTTTCTCCTTCTTAATGAGAGATAGCAGAAAAGAGGCAACTACTCATTTATCTGAGAATGGGAAATTTAAATGGAACCCAATTTGGACATCTAAAAGGATGATCTGCTGTGATTCCTTGCTTGGGAAAGGCCAGTTCTGAGGACGGGGTAGCCAGGTCCCTGACAGGGAGGAGGGGGTAACTTTCTTCAAGGAAAAAGTTGAATTGTACCTGGCTCTGGATCTAATTCAATTTGACTACTTAGCAGAAAAGATAAATTGAACCCACAGAGAAAACTGAAAATAGCATTTTCCTGGCAAGTCCTTCAATGGGCTCAGTGCATTTAGATTTATGAGGGGGTGAATGACCTTCTTTGCCATGGTTTTCACATTTTCGTTTTTCTAGGACTGATTTTCCATCTGGCCTAACCAGACCTAAGGTTGCTGAATCAAACAGAACCAATCTGAGTGGAGCTGGCTGGAACATACATGCACAGAACCGGAAAAAACAAATAGGCTCCTTTCTGAAAAGACTATGGTGCAGAAGCCTAATCCTTCTCCACTCTGCTTACCTCGGATCGTAGCCCTGAAAGAATACATTCTGGTCTTCCAGTTCCAGAGACGCCACTGCCGATGGAGCAACAACAGGCCTGGGAGTGTTTCCATCCAAGAAGCTGGCTGTGTGAAGAGGAAGGGTAGCATTAGTAAGTGCAAAGACATTGTCATTCACACCTGGTTCCCATCCCAGCATCCTGGGGTGCCACGGCTGGAGAAGGCTGGCATGGTCTACCGGTCTTCAGCAGCCCCAGAGGAAACATGGAAATGCAGTGCAAGTTTCCATACGCTCAAGAAGGATTCAGGACCAGGGGAGCACTGATCAACTCTGGGGATGCTTTCTGCGGGTATCTGGCAGAACTGACGAGGGGACATTGAGGTAGAAAGCAGCAAGACCAAGCGAGGGCCTGAACACTCCTGGGATGTCAATAACCGGAGGTGGGAAGCATCTCAGGAGAGGCACCCGTTGCCAGAATGCTATGGAGGTCCTCCACACTAGGGATGAAGGAAGACAAGAGAGAAAATCCAGAATTAATTGAACTCCAAGAAGAAAAGACTGAGGAAACACAGAGCCTCTGTAGAAATGATTAAGATTATATGTTCTGACATTAAGCACATTAAGTTTCACTATGGAAAATAGTGTTACATTTTTTGTATACCCAAGTTTGTGGCTTAAGAAAATTCGAACCTGCTTCTAAATGTTTCATTCTCTGTCTCTTCCTATGCTTTCTCCTGTTTTTCACACCATGCAGAAGAAGGGAGCTGTTTGAGGTTAGTGTGTCTCTCAGCCAGTGACTATAGGTATGCAGTGTGAGTGACAGCACCAGGAAATCTTCTAGACCAGAGGCCAGAAAAGATTTTCTTTAAAGGTCCAGATAATAAACATTTTAGGCTTTGCAGACTATACAGTCTCTGTTGCAAACTCTCCAATTCTTCCACTGAAGCACAAAAGTACCCACAGACAATACACAAATGAATGGGCAGGGCAGGGCTGTGTGCCAATCAAGCTTTGCTATGGACATCGCAAACTGAGTTTTATATAGTTATCATGTATTACAACATACTGTTCTCCTTTTGATTTTTTTCCAAGCATTTAAAAATGTGAAAACTACTCTTAGTTCCCAGGCAATACAAATGCAGGTAGTGGACTAGATTTGGCCCACAGGCAGTCGTTTTTCAACCCTTATTTTAGATTAGCCACTGCCCTCCGCACCATAGAAAGGATTAATTTATTCAGATTCATGGCTCCAGGTAAAAAGGTCCAACTCCTTAGGAAAATGCCCAGGAGATAAAGTCTGCCTGGGAATCACAGAACTTTTTCCCATGGGATTTCCCTGGGAATCGCCCTTTTTACATGGCTTTAAGGCAAGTGGCAAATTTGACACCTAACTCAGAGAAGCCATAACTCACATTCAAACTGCTACTATGTTAGCAGAAGGTGCCAGCTGGGCTCTCAGCCCCAGGAAGACAGGGCCTGTGTCTGTTTTCCCTGCTAGTGTATTCCTGGGGTCTAATGTAGTATCTGACACAGAGTAGGGTGTTGATTGAATGATTGAGTGACTGAAAAAACACTTCAACGCTTTTCAAACTGTTTTTTTACTCCCACTTACATGAGTTACACCACTCTCACTTTGAAAAGGCCTATTGCAATGATTAAGAATCACCATGCATAAATAAAAGATTTTCTTCGAAAGCTGGACCAAAGTTTCATGTCAGTGTGAAACTGCAAAACCATTGTTAGCTGTTTAAATGGGACCTGTTTGCAATAAGAAGCTAAAGAAACATAACTGCATATATCAGAGACTATCCTTAGTAAGGAAAGTGCCACCCTGTGCCTCTCTCCTGACACTCATTTTGACCTGTGGAGGTGGCTCCACATTATGCTCATGACGTGAAAAACTATATACCTGGGTAACTTACTGGGGACTGTGACATGACACTGAAATGCCTTCTGCTTTGTGCTAACTTGGCAGCTCTCCCCACTTTAAGCCACACAACATCTAGGCAGAAGAGAGCAAACTCAGAGAAAACCACACAGCTTTTGGTTACCTTAATTCAGCATTTAATATGAATATGCTTCATAGCTCTCCTTTTAAAGTTTTCTTTTTAAACTCCTACATACGTCTGCAAAGCAAATCATGAGAATGTGGGAGACTTCGGGATGATAACTAATGTATGGTTACCGAGAAGAGGCAAAAGAAAAAGATCAAAGATTAGTTTCTCTGAGCTGGGTGGCACCTTGGCACCGAATCCTGGGAACAGACGCTGGCTGATTTGAATAAAAAAGAGCAGAAATAGCCAAAGATAAGAAATAATTGGCTAAAAGAAACAAAGCCATACTTTTGATGAGGAACAATAAAGTTTTCCAAGCAGATGTTAGGATAACTGACTTTTCCAAAACAGCTTTAAGGAAAACTAGGAAATGGGAAACATTGCTAACTATTTTTCCCCACAGTTGGAATTAAAGCATGGTCAAAGAAGAACAGACCCTTTCCACAGCCTCGGCGGGATAAATCAATCGAGTGGAGGGCTTTGTGTTCCTGGAGAAGATGTCAGAACCCATCCGGGAAGAAGAAAGGAATGTTTGCACTGAAGGTCACGAGAGCCCTGTAAAGATAAACGCTGTTTATAATGACGTGAAAAGGCTTCCAGGAAGAAGGGGAGCCAACTCGCTGGTTTAGGATCAATGGAAAAGGAAAAACTCTTCTCGTTGAAAACGTTTAGTCATTTAGACCTTCTAGAAAGTCTGTGAAACTTTCAGGGGAAAGAACCCAGAAGTATGATTATGGAAAAACATTTATGTTGTTGAACTGTTAAAAGTATGTTGTGGATTTACACAGGAACTGGTCATTAAAAAAAAAAAAAAAGAACTGAAAAGGTTTCTGACAGCAAGCAGAAAGCAGGGACTAACAATCCCTCCACCCTGTTTTTTAGTTGACCCTAAAAGTCCTTAGGTTAATCAGATATTCATGGCCAATGGAGGTATCTAGGAGTATGGAAAAAAGAACACTAACCTGAGACTTGGAAGACCTGGTTTCACATTTCAGCTTCAACACCTTCTAACACTGAGAACTGCTACTCATCATGTAACTTTCCAAAGTCTTAGTTCCCTTGCCAGTTAAGTGAAGACAATGAGCGTTCCTTGTGGGGTTATTGTTAAATGAAATAGAGTGGACACATAGTACATGCTCAGTGGATGGCCTCGATTCTGTTGGATTTGTATCAATTTAGTAGCTAACTAGATGGAGCACTTGCTATGTGTAAGTACTTTGTTCACACTGCTTTGGTCTTCTCAACAGCCCTATGACCAAAGGGAACTGTTATTCCCTTTATACAAGTGAGGAAACTGAGGCTTGGAAAGGTTAAGAAACTTGCTCATGGTACAAGATATTAGTAATCAAGCCAGGCAACCTAGCTCCAAGCCCCTTCTCTTACCTGACCTAAGGTAGGGGAGAGAGAGAATGACTGGATTTATACCATCCTCTTCTGCTTCATTTCTATTATGACACAGGGAACGAGATGAGGAGGTTTTCCTCTCTGAGTAGAATAAAGAGCTACTGACCTCATTCCAATAACAAAAGTTAAAGGGAGTATCCTTAGATAGAAAAGATCCAGTAATAACCAACACTTCATGGTATAGGCAGTGTTCTAGATGCTTTATCAAACGGATTCATTAATTTTCTCAACAACCTTATGAGGTTGGTGCCACCATCCTCTCCACTTTATAGAGGTTCTGAACAAACATGTGGTAGAGCTTGGCTTTGGACCAGCCACTGAAGCACCAGGGCCACACTCCACCATGACACGGCACAGCTCTTGATGTTGGGCTTTTAGCAGCAAGCCAACAAGGAATTATTGGCGCTGCCCTGCCAAGTGTTGGGGGGGTGGGAGGGGCAACATAGCCTCACAGAGAACTGTAAATTGAATGTGGAAGAAAAATGGTATCTGTTGATGACTTATAATTTAAGTGAGTAGGGACATTTTAAGTTACCCATGTCCTACCTAGGGTTCCAAGTCTTTGGACTTCACCAAAGACAATAGCAAAGGTATCGGAGCTACTTTTAATATTTCGGAATGCCTATTAGTGTGTCACTAATCATATAAAACAGTCTTCGCATATGGTCACAAAGCCTTAAAGAAGAAAACTTTTAGGGAAAAATGTTATTTCTAGATTTGAGCAAGGCTGCAAGGATTCCTCCCTCTGGCAATGAGTGAATTTGGTGCTGTTAGAATTGAAATAACCCTCATGGGGTGTCCGATTTGCCCTAACAGAGAAGATACCCCGTTCTCAAACAGAATTCAACAGGACTCCAAAACTTCAACAGAGAAGTGGCTGGCAGACATGAAAGGCAATTTTAGCCATTTACTTGGACTTGCCAGTCACCATAGGAGCAGAAGAGGCATTTTTCTGCCAACTCGTTGAAGCTCATGCCAGAAGGATCCTGCTGTTTCTTAATTGTCCTAAAAGCTTGTAGCCAGCAATTTCCCTGCCAAGCCTGACCTCACTTTCATGTTTTTGTAAAACGCAGATCACAAAGTGTCCTGTTGAGAGTGGGAAAACGAGAAATCACTTCCCTGTCCTTCCTCTCTTCGGAACTCACCACCTAATCTGTATGAGGTCTCCCTGTAAAATAACACATCCGTGGCCATCTCCAAACGTTGGCTTCCATTTAAAAAACAAACCTTTGAGTGCCTTCTGATGTATGATCAATCCTCATGGCAAACATCTAAGATAAGGGAGGGGAAAGCAGTGTCACTCCTATTTCAGTGATAAGCTAACCGAATTGTGACTGATGGACATAAACATCTAGGTGTGATGTAGTAAGCTGTAAATTACAGATGAAATACAGAGTTTGCTCTCATTTTTCTTAAAAAGAAAAGCCAGCACTTTTCATTCCATAACATAACTCTGTGTGTGTGTGTGTGTGTGTGCGCGCGCGCGTGTGCGCACACACATATGTACTTGTGTGTGTAGCGTGGAGGAGAGGGACTGGAAAACATGGCAAGAAACCTTGCAGCATACACTCTAGTAACACCCTTGGTTACCATCTCAGTTGGGAGTGAGTGAAAGGGACTATAAATGAGAATGCTCGCTTTTATATCAATGTAACTTTGTGTTGTTT